CTGCCTGTGCGTTTCAGACAACAGTCACTGGATAGAAAAAGAAGTACTTTGAAAGATGACCTAGAAGTCCTTTCCTCTCAACTAAATCTACTTGACTGCAGAGTCTCTGTTGCTCTAGGTTCCATTTAAAGTCTACTGAGACACTTGTATCTTGGTGAGAGTACAAGGAAATGGAAGGGGTGAAAAGTTCATCTCCCATTTTAGCATGCAGACACACAGGGGAAGAAGCATCAGGAGCTGCAGGTGCAGCCTAGTTTTTGGGTTCTGCTGCATGTCCACATTAAAAATAAATCATTTGGTCATTGAACATGAAGGCTGCTGTATTCCTTGAGAATAAGGCGAAGGGGTAGTCTCCAAGGTAATCCTTTGAGTTACACCAGGAAATGGCCAGACCCTGCACTTTGATGTAGAAAGTCTGGCAAAACCCCGCTATGTAGCTGTAGGAGGAAGAGAAGTGTAATGTTTTAAATTAAGTGGTATAAATATAGCTGGCAGATTTGCTTTATTTAGATTTTCCGCTAAGTTTAATAAACAACTTTAAAGCATTCAATAAGACCCATAAAATATGCAAGAGAAGTACAGCTAATCCTGTTAAATGTAAAATAGCATCTAAGTGGAAAGTTTATGTTGTTAAATTCCTGCTGATAAGAAACAGAAGAGATGTTTAAGGAAGCTTTGGAAACTAGGTGGTAGGTGACATTTATCCTTGATCTGAAATGCCTAAACATACAACATTGTTAATACAGCTGAACTGTGACCTTCCAGCCTGCCAATACAGATAAACACACATGTTATCAGGTAAATCACACAGAAGGGAAATTTCCTGAGGAGACTGTTGAAGCCCCACTCGCAGGAAATGATGGCTATTAACTCACTAAGTTCTGTCTGTCTCTGGCTTTTTGTATGTGAGCTCTCCACACAGCTGTAAGGGTAATTAGTTTCCTTTGGCTTAGTGAGTATTAAGGAGTATTAAAATGCTTAGTTTGTACGGACAGCAAACATATTCAGGGGCTGGGAAAAAAACACACAGAAATGCAAGCAAACCCCCTTAGTCTTTAGTTTGACAGAATCCTGATTCCAGGGTAGATATGATGGGTTTGTTGTGTTTGGATACATTATGTCGGATGGCTTTGTGATAAATGTTACTGGCTTCATCTGGTGAGTGGATTTGTCTAGGCAGAACCAGATTAAAGGGTCAGTATCCTGTTCTGAATTAGATTTCAATAATGCAGACGTGTATGTGCACCCTGTTAGACTGGCAAGAGTTTTCATGCAAGGAAAAAGAGATGCTGTACCTTAAGGATACCCTCTATTCTTGCACGTTACTGTATTTGTGTGGCAAAATGGATAATATAAAGTCACTGTCGTTGTCTCATGTCCTGTCTTCAGCCTAATATGGTCACGTCAAAATGGCACGACCACACACCATGTTATTTCAGGTGTGCTGTGGTGGCACTGTGATCCATAGGGTGTTGTAACCCTGTACACTTCAGAGCATTTTTTGGACAATTCACTGCTACAGGGCTCTCCCCAGCCAGAGCAAGGATGGTTCAAAAATTGAGGTCACCTTCAGCTGTTTTTTTCCTGCCAGGAACAGGAAAAGAGCATTGGGTCTGGGCCAGTGTTTTTTGGAATGAATGTTGCATGAGCTTGTTGGGAAGGAGAAAGGATTTATTTGTCAAATAGGGCTTAATTTATTATGTACAATATGAAAGCTCACATTTTTGTATTGCTGGAGAAAGACAATTGATTAATAATTTGGAAAAAGGCCAAGAGACACAACAATCACCTTTGTAATTTATCATCTCAAAGAAACAAAACCGATATGAAACGTACCTGACCAAATTACTTTATTGAGCAGAAATGAAAGCTGGTTCATATTAATGTGTTTAGTATGAAAGGGCTTGCTAGGACATTGCTATTACCAAAACCAAACATGTAAAAAGCCTGAAGCTGGTAGTTAAGACCGTAGGAAATCTACAGAAAAGCTACAACAGATGAAATAGAGGAACTTCCATATTAATAATAACTTCAAAAAAGATATTTGAGGCTAGGGAGGTTAAGGTCACTGAAACAACTTCAGCAGTTCCTGGAAAGAACATAAAGTCCAAGTCAAATCTTCTTCATCATTAAGTACAGTCTTAGGGGAAAAAGAAGTGTACAGGCTCTTCTAATTCTTGATTAAACATCACATTGTAAAAGCAGTCATATCACCTCCTTTACAAAGGTTCCATGTGCCAAACCTATTACACAGATGGTCTCAGGGACAGTTCTGGTGTGTCATGTATACACATTTCTTTGGCTCTGTAACATGGACGTACTGTGTAAGTGTGGAAAAGCTTAAAAGGAATCATGCTTTCCAGTGGTGTTTATTTTGCTGCCAGGCAAGAGAAAGATTGTCAAGCAGCAAAATGCGTTCTTTAGCTTTTGAACCAGGAGATCCTTATGTCTGCACGCATGACATACATTTGATTTCATAAAACAGAAAATTGTATGAACAACATTACAGAAGATGAAGAATCATGAAAGAATAAGAAGTACAGGAGATGCTGTTCATTTCAGGAACTGGCTGCTAAAGCAAATGCAATATTCTTCATTACTACTACAGGGGTACGGAGCAGTCAGTAGCTGAGGTTTACTGAACAGCATCTTCTGGTCTGGCAAAATGCTGGAGATCTCCCGCTAGATTGTCTACTTTGTTTCCTCTTCCTGCGCTCTTTCACCAGCTAGACACCTAGGACTTCTGTTTCTTCTCCTCCTTGCTGTGCCCTTGCCTCCTCTTCCAAGGGATATGGAGTCCCTCTCAGCTGGTTTTCCAACCCTTCCTTGTAGCAATGCAGATCCCATCTCCTTCTTTCCCCGAACATCTTTACCTATTCAACTGGACAGCTCTGATACAGAATACAATGATGTTGAGACTTAATCAGATCAGTGGTATTGGCATTGTTCATGTGGTATTGCAAGAATTTGTGTGTGGCTAGGAGTTCTACAAGGTGACAGGTCCTATGTTTGTGATACTGCACTTTTAGAGTGTAGATAAGAATGTTTTCATCAGATTTAAGGGCTTCAGCATCAATGCATAAGCACTGAGCTTTCCCCTGATCACAGTTCCTTAAACACTCTAAAATGATACACTAAAATGAATATGCTGTTCCTATTCAAAATTGGGAGTTATGTAGATTACAAAGAATTTTCAAACTTTAAGACAAAGAAAATGCTGGAGATCTCCCGCTAGATTGTCTACTTTGTTTCCTCTTCCTGCGCTCTTTCACCAGCTAGACACCTAGGACTTCTGTTTCTTCTCCTCCTTGCTGTGCCCTTGCCTCCTCTTCCAAGGGATATGGAGTCCCTCTCAGCTGGTTTTCCAACCCTTCCTTGTACCAATGCAGATCCCATCTCCTTCTTTCCCCGAACATCTTTACCTATTCAACTGGACAGCTCTGATACAGAATACAATGATGTTGAGACTTAATCAGATCAGTGGTATTGGCATTGTTCATGTGGTATTGCAAGAATTTGTGTGTGGCTAGGAGTTCTACAAGGTGACAGGTCCTATGTTTGTGATACTGCACTTTTAGAGTGTAGATAAGAATGTTTTCATCAGATTTAAGGGCTTCAGCATCAATGCATAAGCATTGAGCTTTCCCCTGATCACAGTCCCTTAAACACTCTAAAATGATACACTAAAATGAATATGCTGTTCCTATTCAAAATTGGGAGTTATGTAGATTACAAAGAATTTTCAAACTTTAAGAAAAAGAAAACAGCCAGTTTTTAAGACTTTCTCTCATAGAAGAACCTGATTTATGTTGCATCTCATTATGCTAGAAAATTGTCCTTGTCAGGACAACGTACATAAACATTTTGATCTGATTAGCTCAATCTTGGTAAAATCATGGAAATAAAATTAAAAATTTGCTTCATACTGCAAGCCTGAAGCTGGGAACAGAACTTCACTTTATATTTGCCTATATAAAATATGGTGAACTACTACTCTACCATATCAATTCAAAGAACCAAGAGTTAGTCACCAGTCTGGTGTTTTTCATCCTTTTTGTTGTGATATTACAATAGGAAAAAAGAAACATAATAGTGAGGACTTTCCCGGTTTGAGAACTCACTGCAGTATTATTTACTTCTGAACCATTCTTGACAGCTTACCGCAAATTTGGCACCAGCCCTTTCCAATTTCCCATTTTGCTTAAAAGTTCATAGTTTAGAAAAACTTTACAACTCTCATACAAGAGTCACCCTATTTCCTGGCAAAAGGGAACAGGTTGTTAGAGCCTCGCCTTGAAGAAGACTATGAATATTTCTGAGACCAGATTCTGCACCCTGATTGAGGGAGTCCTGCGGTATCTCTACCCAGGCAATTCAGTTCACTCCTGTTTTTGCTCTAGGGCCATGTCTGCTGATCAGCCACATTGCATACATACATACATATTTATATGCTAGTTGGCTCTCAGATTCCTCTCTGGGATGCATCAACTCATTCCCTCCATGAAGAATCCTGGACACAGCTGACAGGATGGTTTGCTAAGATATCCAGCATGGATGTGCATACTGCCCAGGCTGACTCCCCCTGCCCTGGACAGTCCTCTAACCCTATCTCAAAAGACTTTTGACACCCTCAAACATACCCTTGTGCCGTGCAATACACATGCTTGTGTTTCATGCTATAAAACACTACAGTGGGCTGCATCACAGACATCTCTTATTCCAAGCACTTCAAATTCAAAAGAAACATAGAGAACAATTGTATTTCAAGGCACAACATGGGATCCAGAGCATGTTGGGCCCAGCAGTATGCAGAGTGAGTCAGTGCATGCTAATATTGAGCAGCCTGGACAAGAACCAGTCGATAACACCCAGATGAACAGCCAGGCAACCAAGAGTCAACGTAGAGCCAGGCTAAAGCCATAGCTTTCAAATAGGAAGCTGATACTCACTGAGTGCTTTAATGATGCTTTAAGCTTTTCTTGCTGTTTTGACTTTTTCAGAACCTGAGGCGGGAGAGGTGTCCCCCCCAGTGGGAGCTGGTGTGAACAGCAACAGCTGGACCTTTAAATTTGGACCGGGCAATCCCAAACAAGGTGGTCCTGGTGAGTTGCCAGACAAATTCATTATCCCAGGATCTCCTGCAATCATCTCCATCCGGCAGGAGCCACCAAACAGCCAAATTGACAAAAGTGACTTCATAACCTTTGGCAAGAAGGAAGAGACCAAGAAAAAGAAGAAAAAGAAGAAGGGAAACAAGACTCAGGAGAAAAAAGAAAAGGGCAACAGCACCACTGAGAACAGTGACCAGTGAGGGGTTTATACTGAAAGAACCCACTTAGCCAGTTTTTGTAATAATGGCAGATTTCTCCTATGTAGCAACTCCCAACTTCTTCCTACTGTTAACAAATTTCCTGTATGTACAGACTTGAGAAAATCAGCAGGAAATTCACAGTGTCTGTCTAAATTGCTTAACAGGTTTTGTCTTAAAAGCTTTATTAAGTCTGGTGTTAACTCTTTTTCTCCACTCTGGCTTGTTTTCAGAATCTAAAAAGCAGACACAAGTTTCCTTTCTCCTACGCCGAAAAGGAGAATCTTCACAGTACAGCCAGTGAGAGGTTGGACTCTGCACTGTGGTTCCTGTGCTCCTGTCTTGATGACACTTACAGGACAGGTTTAAAAGTTTTAATGTTGTGCACCCTCTATCTGATTGAAAATATTTGTGTGCAGATGTCAGCTAGGTGATATGAGATCAGATTATAAAATGCAAGAAGAGCTGGTAAATATGCAACAGAGGAAACACCTAATGAACACAAATGTTCACAGATGTTCAGGCTGGGGAGGAAATGACTGAAAGGAGATGACCAGACTTTTCAAATCTTGAGAAGTCACTGTGTGGGAATACTGAGTTCTATACATGACGTATTGTACACACTCCTGCAAATAAAACCTCACATTTACAGCTCTTTAAGATACCATAAATTTTATCTCTTGTCAAGCAAGCCATTGGGAAAATTGTCCCTTAAAGCCCTGCATTACCCTGGCAAGGCTAGCCCTCAGAGTGTAAGGAGGGCTGGGCTGACATCCCAGGAATGTAACTGACTGTGATGCTCTGTGTCCCTATTTCCACTCTAACATTATTTTGCACATTATGTCTCTGAAAAGGTCAGAGTTTTTCCACGACACTTATGCAAAAGAGAGAAAAAAGAAACGTTAACTATGCTATTTGTTATTTGAGATATTTATTTATAAAGAAATATAGCTGTAAATGTTAAAGAAATATGATGCCCTTTAACCCAAACAGAAGTCAATCTAGAGCCATTATAAATTACAATTGCTGCTATTAAAGTGCTTTAGAAAAATTGCCTGAAACATCTGTATTATATCGGCCACTTGCCAATAACAGCTTTATTCTGTCGGGTGACTTGGGGGCTGCCTCTTGCATGTATTAGTAAATACAAGAATATCTTCTTTTTTTTTGCATTAATCTGCACTTTGAATACACCTTTGCAAACAAACTGTCCTAATACGAAGAAGCAGAAGCAAACTCCTCACACAAATGGATTTACTGACCTGCTAGCTCTGTGCAGTACGTTGGTGTTACCTCCCACACAACCTTTTCTGATTTTAGTTTTACTTTTCTATGAGATTATGAATTTCTGACCCTACTAACACCCATTATGTAAAATTCAAGTACTGTATGTATGCTGTATGCTCTTATAAGAATCCTGAAATATATATTCTGTGCTTGTGTATGTGAATGTCAATGCAACTATTATTAGAGTGGACTTTAAGCTTTACCGTTGAATGTAATTTCATTATTTCTTTTTTGTACACTTGTGAAAAAGTGGAGTAGTGTTAATTTTTTAAGCGACTGTTGATTATCAGTTTTTTGTGTATGAAACACAAGTAAAATACCTTTCTTAAATCAAGCCATGCATGCATTTGGGGATTTATTGGTAAGAATCTGTGAAGCTAAAGCTCTGTGAATTACTGAACCTAAGGGTATAAATGGAGTATTGAATGTGGTTGAGGATGTTGCTATAAAACGAACACATGTATTTCTAAATAGAATATAGCTGATGAGGGAATTCCAAGGAGTTTTCTACATTATTGTACAGTCACAGAATAAAGCTGAAGTGTCATATTAATTGGAACTGTGTAAGAAACTCCATAGCTCTAAAATTTCTAACAGGCCCTTTAATCTAGGATCCAAGAGAACAACTGGATTTCTTGAGACATGTCTTGGATGTTTTAAGTTTCCAAACTGCTGACGGTTCAGAACAGGACAATTCCTATTCATTTTTAAGAACCTGCAGCAAGTCTTAAAACATCGCAGAAGGTAAAGCTCCAATAAAAGAATTCATATCTCAGAGCGTGAACCACCAATGGCCTCATGTGGTCTATTTAGAGTTTTCTTTTGCTACCAGTCTTGTTTTACTGGCAATGAAAAAGATGCTACTTGAGAAAGAGAATCCTTGATTCAGTTTTTAAGGCTAGCCAAGAGGAAAAAACTTAAGATTTGGGGAGGGAGCTGTTCTTTTATGCAAGTGTACTATGCAAGTACATTTAGACTTTTTTTTTTTTATTTGGTGACTAATCCAACAGTTCCCAAAACATTCATAAACTGGAGTTACAGTGGTAACTTAAACACACAGAAGGGTACTGTTGTTTTGTACTCATTATAAAGTAGTTCTCCTCAATGCCTCTGGCAAAAATCCAGCACAAAGATTTAATTCTTACAGGAATCTTTAACATTTGATTATTTTTAGATTTTAATTGAATATTTTTTTTTCTTTTGAGTGCTTTGCATTTTCCTCTATACAGGCCAATCTGTTTCATTAATTTTTCATCAGTGGTCATACACAGCTGGTTTTCCAAGGCTTGCTTCTATCAGAATGAACCAAGAGCTGCAGTGTGCCTCTGATTTGCCTGTTTTAACACAAACTTACATTTGCCAATGCTGGCTTTGTTGCAGATGCTTACTGCAGGAGGACTGTGTGCTTGCATGACTTGGTAGACAAAACAAAATATCTGAAGATAAGCATTTCAGTAGGGAGGTCTGATAGAACAGAGAAAAAACTTGGAGAGGAGTAGTAGAACATACATTACACAGATTCACTTTGTTTTCAGAAGACTGAATCAGGCACCTCACCAGATTTTTAAAAGATTTTTCCACATTTGAACCCTCTAGTACAACTGGAATGCTGATATGTCTTAAGTGAAATTTGGATATTTCAAAACTAGTATACAAAAGATACCACTGACAACCTTGATTTTGAATCATAGAATCATAGAATCATAGAATGGTTTGGGTTGGAAGGGACCTTAAAAATCATCTAGTTCCAATTCCCCTGCCATACTTCAGGCACTGGAAGGCTGCTATAAGGTCTCCCTGGAGCATTCTCGTCTCCAGGCTGAACAACCCCAACTCTCTCAGCCTTTCTTCATAGGAGAGGTGTTTCAGCCCTCTTATCATCTTCATGACCCTCCTCTGGACCCACTCCAACAGGTCCATGTCCTTCTGGGGGTGGGGGCCCCAGAGCTGAATACAGTACTCCAGATGGGGTCGAGTGGAGTAGAGGGGCAGAATCCCCTCCCTCGACCTGCTGGCCACGCTGCTTTTGATGCAGCCCAGTATACGGTTGGCCTTCTGGACTGCAGGCGCACATTGCCAGGTCGTGTTGAGTGTCTCATCAACCAACACCTCCAAGTCCTTCTCAGGGCTGCTCTCAATCCATTCTCCCACAGCCTGTATTTGTGCTTGGAACTGCCCCAACTCATGCGCAGGACCTTGCACTTGACCTTGCTGAACTTCATGAATGTCTAGGAGGAGGAGAAACCCTTGGCATGAATTGTTTTTAGCGGGGTGGGGGGGGTGAAATTTGCACATTCTGCCACAGTTTTGGGGGTTACTGTTTAAATACTACACAACAATGGGAATTGAGGATCAGAGGTGGTGGCCAAAACCAACAAGAATCAAGAAAAAAGTTTCTTTCATCCTCTTGCTGACAATGAAGTGAGCCAGGCAAAAATACACTGCAGAATTTGTTAACAAGGAAATTATAATTCTGGGGCTTTTTACCACTTGAACAATTTATTCCTCTCAGAATCCATATATTTTTTGTGAGCATATTGTCTTTGGAAATCTGGGTTTTATGCATACAAGATCAGTGGCCAAAACCATTGGGCTTTTATAAAAACTAAGCCTAAGTTATGTTGTTTATTAATTACATCCTGTCATTAAAAAGATATTTTACATTAGGCTTCTAAGACTTAGCCTTGTGCAATTTCTTTCTGCTTAGCATTTGGGTCATGGCACATCACAGGAGGGGGATCCAACTGAAGTTTTCCAATGATCTGACATAAGGGGAAGAACATAGAACCCAAAATACATTTCCCAAATTTCATATATGAAAATCCATTATGGAATTAATTGCAGCCAGCTTTGATATCTTTTAGGATCATCTTTCATTTCCCTTTCTTCTTCATTCATCTGATGTGTTTCAAGAACCGCTTCCATTTTTGGAAAAAGCCATTACACTGTTAATTGACTTTCTCCCCAGGAGAAATGTGAGTAAGCTACCTTTATGGAACAGCGCTTATTAGTACATGATACAGTGACTACAGTTTCTATAGGATACATAATTCATGTTGGCTGGTCAAAAACTTAGACCTGCCCGTTCTGGGGCTTAATAGTCTCAAGGTTCCAATAAATAGCATTTCCTCCAGGAAACTTCATTTTATTAGCTCCCTAATCCATATGTAACATATTTAGGTAAAAAACGAGTCCATGATTCTTCCTGCTTCATGCCACCAAACACTTCCATTAGAGCTTTCTGTGTTTCTAAAATCACCTGCTCTTAAACTGTAATTACATTCTTAAAATGTAAAGTCAATTACTGCCTTTCTTTTACACAATTTGCCTCACTTATTTTAATCCAGGTTATAGCCAAGTTTGTGTCAACAACTGGGTAAAATAAACCATGTACAATCTTCCTTCCTTATCCTATTTTCTCCTAGCAGGAGTTTTGTGGATCTCGTGTAAGACAAGTAAGGAAGGAGCTGAGCCGTTATCCTCATTTGAGTCCTAAAGAACGAGTAGGTTCCTCAGCTTTGCTGTTATTTAATTGTTTGGAAACTACTGGCTGTGCCTTGACACAGACACTTTTTTAAGACACTGTCAAGAGTCCCATGTTCTGTTAAGGCTCCTGTAAATATGCAGAAGTATCACTTTGATCAAAAGTTTGGCTTTAGTGACTAAGTATACATTGAAGTCCTTTGGTTTCTTCCTTCACATGTCTCTGAAGGAGAAATGAGTGAACAGCTGAGCAATGTTTTGATATCATCACACATAGTTTAATCTGCATGAAGCAAATGTATGCCCTGGAAAGTATAGGACAGGCTGAGCTCTTCAAGCAATGCAATAATACATTGCATATATGAAGGGCTTGATATGATGCTCACACATGCCTGAGTAGCTGGCTTTGCACAGTACTTACACAATTGGACATACCAAGAGTGCATAGAATAGCTGTCATGAAATAAATGCTTCATCACATTTTAATGACCTTGTGCAGCTTAAACCAGCATACTAGAAAATCAATATTGCTAGCATAAAAATTAATTTTCCATTAGCTCTTGGTATGGGGATGCTGTACTCTCTACTCTCCTGAGTTCTTTCTGCTCTCTATGGCCTCCGTCCCTCACTAGAGGATCCAGTGATACTGCTCTGCATTTGCAGATGGGGGGGGGTGGGGGTGTGTGTATGTGTATATATATGTGTATCAGAGATATATACACAAATCTGGGACCTGATTATGTTGTTATACAGAATACTGCAACGCCTACTGTCAGTGGTAATACTGCTTAGGTAAAGCCTATTATGCAAATCTATCTGATTTTTCAAGGTGATGCTATTATGGTGACATTATGCACCTACTTCTGGAATGTGTGCTGTTCAGGTGCCTTTGGCTGGCTTAGAGAACTAATGAAAGGAATTCTTCATCATGAAGTACTGCAGAATTGCTTCTGCCACACAGTGAGAAGAGAGTATCTTACAATGCACTGTGGATTCCCTTTCATACCCCAGGACTGCCTCCATGCAATCACCCTGACACAGGTTTTAACATCAAAAGATGACAGACATGTAGTGAAGTAAACATCTTTCAGAAGCCACACAGCTTGGCAAACACTAAAAATGTTTGCTTGCCAGCGGCGCCCAGAGCTATGTAACTGTTGTCTGAATAAAGACAGCAAGTAACTCATCCACATTTAAGAACTGATGTCTGGAGCATATTACAAAACAGACATGCTAGGCTTGAAAACCAGATTTCAAAACCAGGACCCTGACAAAGAGTTGGAGGTATTAAGCTGGCCTTCATACCAAGTAGAGCAGCCATAAGTCTGTTGTCACTCCAACCACTCAACTCACTTGTCCCTCAAGATAATGAGCTCCATTATGGTGGGGGGGAGTGGGGCATGTCATGAAGAGATAAACCCATGTATGCTGTCAGGTGGGAAATGTTATGCTACAGGCATATCATTGCAATAACGCACATAGATCGGGTGTTGGGCATACTTATGGGGCTTTGTGTTAGGTGAAGGGTGAAAGCCCATGTTACCAGTGCACCATTCCAGCAGGAGTAATACCTGAATCTCCTACCAAATGTGAGACCCTGAAGGGCTGCCCTATGGACTCAGCAGTGGGTATTGCATCTGTGCTGGGGCATTACACCTGCTTTCAGGCTTCAGCACTGAGATGGGATAACATAAGAGCTGGCCCTGGCAGCCCTGTTCCAGCTCCTTTGGTGGTATTTTATGGAAGGTTCAAGTGTCTTGGCACCCTTGGGCAGCACTGAGGAGAATTAGAAAGTCCTTGCCCATTAATTACAGGAATGGCGCCACACAAGAAGCCTGACAAGACATAATA